GAGAGAGAGAGAGAAAAGGAGGAGGAGGAGGAGGAAGGGAGGGAAATGGAAGGGAAGGGGGAGAGGAAGAAAGAAAGAAATCTGTGTGAGATTCTCAGGAACAAATCTACAATCTCTGAATTGGCATTAACAAGCTTTCAAGAGTATTATTTGGATAATAGAGGGAGTAGGGAAAGACTGACCTTCCAGATGGAAACAGACACAGCACCCATCATTTTTTACTATGGATCATTATATCTGGGAATGATGGAAGTTGAAGTCTAAGACCATCTGAAGAAGCATGGGTTCTTTAGTTTAATTTAGTTTAGTTTAGTTTACTTTACTTTATTGTCATTGCACCTCATACAATGAAATTAAATACCATTAACTTTGCTGTGTGGACAAAATTGAATTTGGGAGTCAACAATGCACATCTATGTATCCACCTCTGCAGTTAAAGACAGAAAATAATCTTTTTTAAAAAATAAATTTTATTGATTTTACAATTAAAACAAACCAACAATACATACATAAATGAAAGAGAGAAAAAGAAGAAAGGGAGAAGAAAATAGAAAGAAAAAAATAGAAAACAATTAAAAACATTCTCATCTTCAACAGTTTGTAAAACCTCTTTTTTATCCTTATTTTATGCCATAGTATACACACACCTAATCCTTACATATATCTGTGTATCACTACTATGGATTTATCCTATCCTCTTTTGCCTTTTAGTGTAAAGTCTATCTTTGGTCTATCCATTTGTACCAGCAGTTCCAGCTGTTGTAGTATATTAAAGTGTCTTTATTTTTTAATGCCAAAGTTAATTTGTCCATTTCTGCACAACTTGAAATTTTTTGAATGATCATCTCCTCTGATGGAACATGAGGCTGCTTCCAACATTGTGCAAAAGCCAATCTGGCTGCTGTCAAAATGTGTATTATTATATATTTCACTTTTTTTGATATTTGTTTATCAAAGATCCCTAACAGAAAGGACTCTGATTTGAATTCGATCTGTTCTCTTGTGATTTCTTCCAGCCAATTTCTAATTTTCTGCCAATATTTTTGAGCTTCTGTACAGGACCACCACATATGGAAAAAAGTTCCCTCTTTTTTTTGCATTTCCAGCAATTCAGACTCATATTGGGGTGCATCTTCGCTAATCTCAAAGGAGGAAGGTGCCATCTATAAAACATTTTATAGGCGTTTTCTTTGTATGCTACCGATTTTGTAATTTTATTATTTCTACCTAGACCTTTTCCCATTCTGTTATGGTGATGCTATGTCGTATATTCCTACTCCAGGCTATCATGTTCCCTTTTACAATTTCTTCTTCTAATTCTACTTCTAATAAATAATTATAAAATTTTGTTATATTTTTTTTGCCTGATCCTAATAAAATTTTATCTAATTGCTGGAGTTTATTGTTAATTCCGAATTCTTTCTTGTCCTGTTTATATCTACTTTGAATTTGAAGATATGCCCACTGATCAATTTTTAGTCCCCGCTCTTGAAGTTCTTGCCACGATTTCAAATTTCCTTGTGTATCCAATAGATCCTTATATTTAATCATTTTAGTGATATCCAGATTATTTGGGTGAATCATCGCCTCCATTGTTGAAATCCAAATTGGTATTTTTAAATAGTGTTTTTTCCGTATTTTCTTCCAATTAGTTAATAATGAGTCTCTGATTAGGTGCTGTGGAAATATTTCTGGCTAGTTTTCCCTACATCCCATAAAAAAGCATGCCACCCCCTCTGTAAGTCATGGCCTTCTAAGAATAATATTCTCTTATTGGTTAAATTCACCCATTCCTTCAACCATACTAAAGAGGCTGCACTATACTACAACTCCCAATATGGAAGTGCCAGCCCTCCCCTGCTCTTCATATCCTGCATTGCCTTTAAATTTATTCTAGGTTTTTTCCCTTGCCAGATAAATTTTACAGTTATTTTATTAAGTTCTTCAAAAAAAAATTGTGTACTTTGATTGGGATCGTCTGAAACATATATAGGAATTTTGGAAGAATATTCATTTTAATAGCAGCAATCCTGCCTAATAATGAAAGTTGCAGCTTCCCCCATGTTTCTAAATCCTTCTTTACCTGTTGCATCAATTTATCATAATTATTTTCCTTAAGTGTCTTACAATGTGCTCTCAACCATATTCCTAAGTATTTAACTTTCTTTATCACTTGTATTCCCATAACTTCTTCTAGTTCTATTTTCTGTTTTTCTGTTAAATTTTTAGTCATTAATTTTGTTTTCTCCCTATTAATTTTAAGTCCTGCTACTGCTCCAAATTGTTCTAATTCATTCATCAATTTTTGTCCTCTTTCTATTGGTTCCTCAATGAAAAAAATCATATCATCCGCAAACGCTTGCAACTTATATTCTTCTTTCTTAACCTTTCATCCTTTTATGTCTGGCTCCTGTCTAATTCGCATTAGTAATGCTTCTAATGATAATATGAAGAGCAGGGGTGAGAGTGGGCAGCCCTGCCTGACTCCTTTTTCTATTTTTATTGGGTGGGTATATTTCCCGTTTATTATAATATTAGCCTGTTGTGTATCATAAATGGTTGTTATAATATTTTCAAATTTGGTGCCTAAATTCATATTATAAATTTTTTGGATTAAAAATTGCCAATTTAAATTATCGAAGACCTTCTCTGCATCTAAAAACATAAGTGCAATTTGTTTTTCGGGGTGGGCTTTGTAAAATTCTAAGACATCTAGTACTATTCTTAAGTTGTTCCTGATTTGTCTGGTCGGGAGAAATCCATTTTGATCTTCATATATATGCTCATTTAACATTCTTTTTAGTCTACTTGCTATAATAGACAGAAAATAATCTTCTAACAGATTATTAGTTTAGTTAGCAGATTTTCTGGGACTGCTGCTCAAATGTCTTGAGTTTAATGTATCTCCTTAAATTTAGAGACAATAAAGAAGAGCTGTTGCTCTTTATTCATAAGAAAGAAAATTGTGCTGTACAGAGAAGAGGATTAAAAAAGGAAGGAGAGCTTGAATGAGTTTTTCCTCTTGCTCCTAGGTCAGCGCTTGGCATCTGGAGACAGCTGTACCCGTTTTCCAGATCTCTGCTGAGCCTCCAGACCAATGGCTCTGTGGAACTGTGTTTGTACCAAGGCTGGTGATTGTGACTGTATCTGAACGGGGTGTTTTCAGCCTGTGGGACAGCATCAGTGGACAGCTACACTCCAAGCAGGAACTGATAGGGCTGGGAGAAGAGACACCAACATGCAGTATATTGCTCCACACACTGGGCAGGATGGTGGCCGGCTTCAGCAAGGGCTCTCTCTTGATGGTGCTTGTTCTTCTACTGTATCCCTACTTAGGGAGAGGGAACATGGGTCACCCAAGAGATATCTTTGGATGTGGGAACAGTAGGATGCCACAGTGTTTTGGTTTTGTTGCAGATGCCTTGGAGAAATCTTATTTCAGGCCTAAGGAGCCTTTTGGTATTAGGGACCCTACAGATAGTCCTCAATTTACAACTATGCATTTAGTGACTATATGAATTTCCAGTGGCCCCCCAAAAAGGGACTTACAACTGGCTCTTGCACTTACAACCATCTCAGCATTTCCATAATTACATGACCAACATTCAGGCACTTGACAACTGACATGCATTTGTGATGGTTGCAGCATCTCAGGTTCATATGATCACCATTTGTAACCTTCTCAGCTAACTTCCAAAAAGCAAAGTCAGCTGGGGAACCAGATTCACTTCACAACTGTGGCAAAAAAAAGTCCATGCCTGTCGTACAACTCTTCAAGGTTTTAAGCAACCTTATCCTGGCCCTCTTTGGAGATGGACCAGCGCTGCTGGTGGTGGGTGGGTGGGGAATGTGGGCAAGCATGCATGCAGCTCCATTTGCACAAGCAGTGGGTGTACACGCACCCCACTCGCACAATGGAACTTTGTGTATGCATGCACTAGTTCGCCACTCATGCACTTGCCCACCGTTTGCACAGCCCAGTTCCAAATGGGCCATAATGCGGGATCAGGCCAGAGCCCAGGAGTTGGGGACCCCTGATCTAGCAATAGCAATAGCACTTAGACTTATATACCGCTTCACAGTGCTTTACAGCCCTCTCTAGGTGGTTTATAGCATCTCCTGTGCACCCCTGCCCCCCGCACATGCGTACCAAATACCTGATAATCAGCTGTTGGGTGGTGGCGCATGCGTGGATTTGCAGTGGGGCTCTTCCAGGCGACTTCTCGCATGCCGGCAGAAGTGGCTCTGCGTGCCACTTCTGGCACATGTGCCATAGGTTCGCCATCACGGATATAGAACATCTTACTTCCAGAATTATAACTCTTTCATGGGATCAGTAGGTACTCAGGCTTTCTCTACTCTATCCTTATATCCAAGAAAGCTAAAATGCCCAGGTTGGGAATGGATTCAAACCATTTCTCTTTCTTTCTTTCTTTCTTTCTTTCTTTCTTTCTTTCTTCCTTCCTTCCTTCCTTCCTTCCTTCCTTCCTTCCTTCCTTCCTTCACTTACTTACTTACCATGGGGTAAATCTGGGCGGCTTACAGTTACATCTAAGCTAAAACATAAAAAGTTAAAACCAAATATTAAAAACAAAGACACATGGCGAGGATGGGAGGCGGAATGGGACGGAGGTGAGATCTCTTATTACTCAATCAACCACCTCCAATCGTGCCTCTCTTGACAGATCTCTTCTGATGGACACAGCCTGCTGGAAAAGCTCCCAGAAAGGATCAGCTTTGTGGTGCTTTCAAAAGACGAATCTCTCCTGGCAACAGGTTTGAGTGAATATCCTGCTCCCTTACCCTACATTGGTGAATAATGTCATTTAATAGCTGCATCATATCAACAAAGTAGCTGCCTAAGGCTAATGCTGATCTTCTAATCTCTGTAAGCCTAGAAGATTGGCTTTAATCACTTGACACTTGGCAAAAACTAGCAAAAATTTTTTTTGCCAGCGGGGATGTTCAGCATATGTTGTCATAATTGTTATTGTTAGTTAAATCTGTCTACCACTGAATCATGTAGACTTCTTACAGCTTACAAAAAGTAAAATGCAATGATGGGACATTCTTACAAAAATGATTTCTATAATGGCTGTGGTTCATCATGACATTTCCATTCATCAGAAGGGTCCCTTCATGGTCTCTCACCATCCCCGCCCAGATGTCTTCTATATTCTAATCTAGTTAGCTTTGTCTTTGACTCTCTCTCTTTCTTTTTAGCAATTTTGCACCTAAAATGTACATCTTATATTGAGACTGGAAGCATTCTGATCAATCAAGGTGGTGCTAGATGCTGGTACTTTGCCTTATGTCAGCTTCCCACTTAATTTTGTAAATAAGTAGTAGGAAGGAAGGTAGGGGCGAATTAAGGAGGGCACTGGGCATAGCCCTGTCATAGTCCACTTCCAAGACAATAGCTTCTATGCACATAAAGCTCTCCCTTACATCCAAAAAATAAAAAACCACCACACTCTGAAAACAATGATAGTTGGCTATTGTCTTGGCACGGGGTGCCAAACACAAGGCCCACAGGCGAGATCCAGCCTGCATGGTGTTTAGATCTGGGCTGCGGGACTGCCCTAGAAACAGCAAAGTACCTCTGCCAGTGAAAATGGAGCTCGTGAGGGTCACACTTTGCCTTCCCGAGCTCTATTTTTGCTGACAGAAGGTTGCAGGAGGCCATCGCAGCCAAAAACAGAGCTCGGGAGCCCATTTTCACTAGCAGAGCGCTTGGGCCACTACAGGTGCCCCCAGTGTAAATGACATCGAGCTGGTCATGCTTCTCAATCCTGATGCAGCCCTCAATGAAATCGAGTTTGACACCCCTGCCTTGGCAGGAGTGGCAGGTTATCTATTGTCTTGGCAGGCAGGGATGTGTGTCAATGTGGATGTATAAGCTATGGTTCAGTTGGGTTATTTGCCAATGCAATGAGCTTTTTGCACACCAGAGTGCCAGAGCAGAACCTGATATCGGAGTTCCTATTCAGTTCTTACGTGACCTACATATTTGCATGCTTTTCATGATGACCTCATCATGCCCGCACCGTCATTTTAACATCATCACACTTATTATGGATGCCACTATCTCATTTTGCATACTGCATTGTTCCAGGTTTTGGGCACCGTGTAAGAGTTTTCCTGGGCAACGTGACAGGATTCCATCAACTCCTGGCCTCAGATTTGCTGCATTCTGCTGAGGTCTGTGCAGCTGCTATTTCAGCAGACCATACCACCATCGTCACAAGTTCCCAGGACGAATGCATATGGGTAAGAGGCATAGGGTAATGTTTCAAAACAGGTGTGTTTCACATGTGACTAAGGCAAGGGCATTCTATGATGAGGGCGGGGGGCGGGGGGAGAGGAAACAAGTCAAATTGGCCATTGTGTGTGTTAGATCTGGGGTGGATCGGTTCGAAGGAGACGCAAGACCATTCTAGTGAGTTCAGCTCTTTATTCAGGTTAAGAACAGTCTAAAGAAACACAAGCCGCGGCAGCCTTCATATAGGGCTGGCTCGCGGGTGGGCGGCCAATGGCAGCACTTTGAATCTCCCGCGATCGGCACAGCCAATCGCGGCAGATTCCTAGCGCTCCAATCACGGCCGGGGTTTCGACCAATCAGGTCGCTGTCCGTCCGGACCAATCAGTTGCGAGGGTTTGGAGTATGCTAATATAGCACAGTGTGGTTGAAGCTATATGTATCATGCACATGATGGGCATAAAAAGAGCTGAAGTTTCAATCATACAGTTACAGCCGTGTATGGGATTAGCTTAGTTGTAGCTAAGATTAGGTCAGGATTTATTAGGGCATTTTTCATAGCTCAAAAGGATAGAAAACTGTGTTACTATTTGTCAGGAATTAGAGATGAGGAAAGATTCAGGGCAGTGGTGGGATTCAATTTTTTTTACTACCGGTCCTGTGGGCATGGCTAGGGGGCATGGCTAGGGGCATGGCCATATGACGGGGGTGGGGGTGGGTTGTTGTTGTTTTTTTGCTTTTTGCAGCACCCCTCCCTGTTTTTTGGGCCTTCTGGGCCTCAGAGAAGCCTCCTGGGGGGGCATTTTTACTCCTAGAAGGCTTCCCTTAGGCTCAGGAAGTCAGAAAATGGAGGGTAGGAGGGGCACGTAGCATCCCCCCAACACTTCATTTTGGGGCCTCCCTGGGGCCCAGGAAAGCAAAAAAAACTGAGGGGGTGGGGGGCTGTGCCCCCTCTCCATTTTTTGCCTTCCTGGGCCTCAAGGAAGCCTCCTGGGCGAAGCAGTAAGTGAGGGAAATCCCAGCACAGCTGATTGTCGGGAAGGGAAAAAAACACCTTGAGGAGTGACTGGACAGGCGAGCATTGGGTGGGCAGGGCGAGTGAACATCGGGTGGGCGGGGCAAGCGAGCGAGCGGTGACCAGGCAACTGGGTTGGGGGCGTGGCCAGCCAGAAGTTACTACCGGTTCAGCAACCCATGCCATATCCTTGCTACCGGTTCATCTAAACCAGTGCGAACTGGCTGAATACCGCCACTGATTCAGGGGCTACAAAGAAAGCTGGCTTGGGAGTCACACGTTCTAGAACAGAGTTTCTCAACCTTGGCAATTTTAAGACACAGACAGAATAACAAAGTTTGAAGGGACCTTGGAAGTGTTCTAGTCCAACCCCCTGCTCAAACAGGTGACCCTATACCAAAAACCATGCTGGGCCAGGCTAAGAACCAAGTATTCCAATATTTTTTCTTACAATGCCCAGCCTCTGAGGGTTTGTTGATGGGAGATTTGCAGAACCTTGCTGATTCTCCTTCAGCAATGATTGCTCCTCCCTAGGCCTACTTATTTTTGCAGAGTTTACTATTACTACGATCTGCCTGCCATAAATAATAATGTGAATGGGTGCATAGTTTTCTGTATTTACCCTGGGTTCCTTTTACAGGTGTAACTGATCAGCAAAGTCTGTTCAAGGGTATCGATTTTTATCATTTAAGCAATAGTAAATCACTTGGCAGCAATTGTGGAAAAGTAAGCAGAGTCTTCAAAAATTGAACAAGCTGCATTCACAATACTCTATGAAACACATAATAAGCATTTCCAATTGTTCTGAGAAATAGCTTTCCTAGGTGTAAAGAGAATAGAATAGAATAGAATAGAATAGAATAGAATAGAATAGAATAG